CTTCATTAGCTTTCTTACCTTAGACCACAGAGCCCTTCCTGACCTTCTCCACATCTGTCCTGGTCAACTCCAACTCAGGTTCCTATAACGCTGTTTCTCTGCTCCCCCACTGAGGGACAGTCACAGAGCCACACAACTAGGGCCCACTCCAAATCCACACAACCCAAGGGGAAGTGGGTCCATCCTGTTGCTCTTTCCCCTATCAGATTTTTCCAAAGCTATCATTTTAAACCATTTCCATTTCCATTCTTCTTCAGTCTTCAACTCCACCCGACCTTCTTAGAAATGTACTATCTCCTGAGAAGACTGAAGGCATCTGTATTGAGTGTCTATTTCCCGCCCCCATTAGACTGACCATCTGTTACTTCCTCCTAACTGCCCCGCTGTCTCAAATGTTGGATCTTTCCGCTCTTTCACATGTGCTCTTCAGCCAACTTCCCCCGTCTCAATAAGGACCCTGATTCCTATCTTCCTTACACTTTCACTATTGCTTTTTGCTCTGCCTTCTTATCTTTTGTTTAAAAAACAAGCTGTATCTAAGCTCTCTTTCTTTTATGACCAGACTCCCAGAAAGGGCAGACTCCCACTCACAGGCCTGCACTAAACCTAGCAATCCTCTCCCAAGCTCGACCTCCACGTTCTCAAGTCCTCTTAACCGCCAAGTCCAATGGCTTTTCCTGGCCTGCATCCTTCTTGACTTTCCTGGGGCACCTAGACTCAACACATCAAAACTGAACTGAGTAGTCCTCTCTCCCCTGTCCCCACCATTGCTGACTGCTATTCCATTTTTCCCAGTTACGCCAAAATCTCTTGGTCAACATTGCTTCAATTTAGTTATCAAGTCTCCTTCCTTTCACCCGGTTACGTCTGTGCCATTCAATTCCGCCCTCTCTGTTGCCATGACAGATAAACAGCCTCCGTGTTTAACTCCATGTACTTCAGATAACACACTGCACCAATCTCCCAGCCCCTCCCTTTTCACAGACCCGCAATCATCTAGCAAATAAAACTCAAATGTCTTAGCCTGAGACTTAAGGCCCTCTAAGAACTGGACCGAGTCTATATTTCTAGACCCCATGACCTTCCCATCTTCCATTTCATTTCATGTATTTCACATTTCCTCTGGACTCTGGGAGAATTCATAGTTCCCAGAAGCCTTCATTTTCTTACCTTTATTCCTGAAACAGGCCAGTTTATCCATGAGCAATGTCCAGCATTGTTTTTACTTATTGAAAAAAAAACAAACTTTTTTTTTTCATTTAAGATGTGGTAGAGATGCCATTTTTTCCTATCGTGGTAGTTTTAAGTTATTCATTCCTCCCCTGAACTTCCAGAGTTCAAATATGCTCATCTCTTTCTTGCTTCCTCTTATTTCATATTATTTTAGGTTCTAGTTACCTGTGTACTAGCTGGCCTCTTTGTCCCTATTAGATTTCAAGTTCTTGAAAACAGTGATGATGATGATAATAATTGTAATAGTAACCACCACCAGCATCACAAGCACCTACCATATTCCAGCTCTATGAAAGCATATAACTCCATTTCAGCAACCCTCTGAGGACTGTTCCCACTTCCTGGTGTGATTAAGTAATGTGCCCAAGGCCAGCACTCAGGAGTGGTAGAGCCAGGAATTGAAGTTACGCTTGTCTGACTTTAAAAGCCATGCTCTTCACTACTATGTGGTATTTCTCATCATCTATATACTTGACCAATAATCATGGAATAAGATATCCTCTCCATAAACCCTAATAAGTGGGATAGTTGGCTTAGCCAGGTTCCCCTGAGTGGCTGAGCCTACATGGTTAACAAATACATTTGTAAAGAGAAGTAACCGATAGCTTAGGCTCTAACTCTTAAAGGATGATTTCAAAAATGGAACAAAGTTTCAAGACTAAACAGATTATCAGACGCAATGTGGTAGAAATATCTGTTTCACCTGGATTAGGGAATACCTTGACCTTGTCTCCTTCCTTAGAATCATTGATATCAGCAAGGCAATGAATCAAGGCCACTCCGAAAGTCCTACTTAGATCATTTAAACTACATTTAGAGAATGCCTTCAAAATTCTAACTTCTGAAACTCTGATATCAGCCGTGAGAAAACATGATAATTGTACTGTGCTGGTATAGTCAGGACGAATGTAAATGTGAGGTCCTAGTTTACACACACACAGGTAAATGGCATATGACACACACAAGTATCAGTGTAAAGTAAAACGGTGGTTGTTGCTCTCTACACGTAAGCGGCTAAGGCCTGTAATCCTCCAAGAGGAATGTCATTATACAGCTCAAATCCCATCACAACAAATACCGTTACAACAGAGATGTCTGTATAACAAAAACCCTTTCAGGCTTTGGCTGACAGCCCACGTACGTCAAGCAATATTTGATGTGAGCCTTGGAGTTCACAGTAATGGGAATTGACCTATCTTTCCAAAGGTAAAATTTGAATGATTTCATCTGTAACTTGCATTCCATGAGACCACAGGTTGGCGTGATGTACAATCTAAACCCGGGAGCATAAAAACTAAACACAAAGACAGAAACAAATCAACCCTGCTCTTCAAGGGCAAAGTTCCATTCGGTTCACCTGGGGAACACTGCAGTCAAGGAGAAGGCCTCTCACCCAACCCTGAAATGAAGCAGAACAAGGCTGGTTTGTGGCCTTACCTCAGGGAGAAGCAAGCTGGTGTACGGAGCACATGAAGATAGAAGGGTTGTCCTCAAATTTCTATTCAACCTCTTTTTAGCTGCATAAACTGGGCTAACATTCCTTAACTTTTCTGAGCCTCCTCTGCAAAATGTGACTAATATCACTACTTTCAGGATTTCAGTAAGAACCAAAGAAGAGAATATATGTAAAACTTCTCACATAGGACTTGGTACAGAGCATGGGCTCCAAAAGCCCTTATCAGGTGACCCTTTTCCTCCAAGACTGTGGGCTCATGCAAACTATTTTAATGAAGTTAGTTACAAAACCCAGTGAAAGAAGTTAATGACGTGTGTAGTCTCAAATATACCCTGATGAAGAGATGCTTAGAGGAACATCAGGAAAAAAGAGAGAATATGCTAGAAGAACTAAGCCATGCACAAGTACTCATTTGACTGAGGAAAAGGTCTTTCTGGCTAAAGTAATACATGTAGAATACAAAGATAAAATGCAAGTAACCAGGCATCATAGCAAGAAATGAGCGTTGAGCATTCTACCGGAGGACATGTTGAAAAGTGTGGAACTCCCTAAAATTTGGAGGCACATTTTCCTACCCAAGGATGAAGGGTGGCTATTGCTCTGAAGCACTGGTTTCCTGCCTCTGGCCTAGTTTCCTGTGGGTGTCATTCTGCATGGCGGGGGGGGGGGGGGGGGGGGGGGGCGGCTCACTTGCTAAGTCCAGTCCAGGGCATTATGCTGTCTTTCCTAAGTAGGAGACTGTAGGGGTTAAAAACCTAATTCTAATCAAAAACCTAATTCTAGTATTTTCCATTCGGGAAACGTGTAGGTAAACAGTGCAGGAATACGACCCAGAAAGGCTCTTTCAATGTCCTAATTTGTGGTGGGTTTAATCCTTCTGTTTTATATACCTAATTTCCTATTTCTCAAGTTTAGGGACAACCAAGTATGTGGTGACAAAATTTCATGTATGTTCTTTTGAAAGTATGCTTCGTATTACTACACATGATTATATTTTGAGATAGGAAATGAGAGCCTCATGAACGTAATCAGAAGTTATGTCTGTTCACCTTTATAAAATACGCGTTAGCCTTTTAAATTTCTTAAAAGGTTCTAAAGAAGTCCTGTCAGATCTCTGCAACTATAGGGCACAAGAGATGACCCATTTCTCAGAGTCACGACCATCAGCGTTTTCCTCATTACTCAGTCCCATCCCTTCACCTTGACAGTAAGAAAGAGGCTCAGAGGAAAGCATGTGCTCATGTTCATGTGCTCACTAATGAGCTTGCAGGAGCTCTTGTGAGAGGCCACACAGAAATAAAATAACAGTCCGGACAGAGACAGGAAGGACACGGAGAAAAAGGAAATGCGGACCCACAGAAAGACAGAGGAGCCCTGGGCAGAAAGACCAAGAGATCAAGAACAGAGAAAGAACAAAATTCCTAAAGCAAGGTTAACCTATCAGCAGAGACCAAGTGGCAGCAGAGGAGTTAAATCCAGTCTGCACAGAGCTTGCAAAGGACGGCTCTCATACACGGAAGCTTCACATACACCGAAGCTTCAATGTGTGCAGAGGCTTCTGGCTTCTCTCTATTTTAACAACTGTCCCCCCCCTCCCCCCCCTCCCAACATCACCCTCATCTTAAAATGGAGGCAGCAGAAACCACCGGATTGTACACGTGAGTCTCAGCGCTGGTAAGGGCGTAGACCACAAGCATTTGGAAGGTGTGCTAACTATCTCAGGCCACTAGGGTGTTACTTCCTGCCCCCAAAGGCGTACTTCACCTAAAGATGCCCATCTAGACCCCAGTCATTGACATCCCTCCTAAAAGTGTGCCCTTTATTCCTTAGGCCAATGGGATCACACTAACTGTTTGCAAGGCATGTCAGGATCCCCACAGGCTATGGAAAAGTGAAATGCAATTGTAATTACAGGAGCAATCATGGGAAGGCAGGGGCAGCAAGAGTTACTCCTGAAATGCAAGACTGAGAAACAGGATTCCTTAGAGAGGCAGGCACTCCACCAGGGAGGGGAGAGGAGCCTGTGCTGCCTAGAAAGTGACCTCCTCAGGAGGGAGAGCAATCACATGCCTGGACAGAGGCGCGGCCGCGCCCCTCCCTCCGCTCCTCCTCGCCTGCGTCCCAGGCCAGCGCCGTCCACCTGCCCGGGCGGCGGGCGGGCGGGCGGGGGCGCGGGGAGGAGCCCGGCTGGCCCGGGCTCAGGGGCAGCGGGCGGCTCCCACTCGCAGCTCGCCCTCCTCCCTCCCGCGATGCCCAGGACGCCCCGCAAGGCCCCAGACCGTGCGCGCGCGCGCCCCGCAGAGGACGGTACCTTTGCTCTGGGGAGGGTTCTGACTCCGGTCCCGGAGGACGTTGATCTGGTAGACGGCTCCGTAAGGCTCAAAAAGTTCTTTCAGCTCCTTTTCCGACCAGGACCTGGGGATCTGCCCGACAAACATCTTAATGGCATCTGGGTCTGGCTGGTCGGAGTGATCCAAAGCGCCGTTCATCTTGTTGGCTGTGCCGTTACTGTCAAAAAAGGGAACCGGGAGCCAGAGTTAGGGCTGCAGGGTGGTGAGGGACAGGATGAAAAAAAAAATAGGGGGTGGGGTGGGGGCGGGGAGGCCGGGGGAGGAGGAGGAAGAGGAGCCTGGGGCAAAGTGCCTAATGAGTCGTAGACATTTGATGAACTAAAAACAAAGCGCAGGCACCATTGGGCCGCTCCTCGGCAGCAGGCAGGGCGCGGGCTCACACTGCAGGCTGCTGCTGCTCAGCACCCAGCCCGAGCCCCAGGCAGCGCCCCGCTGCCGGCTGTCACCCGGGGCGTGGACATCTTGAAACCCAGCTCGGAGGCAGCTGCAAGTTAAGTGCAGGTCTCGTTCTGCAAGACTGCCATCAATGCATCTGCAGCCTTATCAGCCTCACGCTGGCTCTCTTGTGAAAAGAAAGGCAGGGCTGGGTTTCTGCTGGATTTCTCTCCTTCCCCTCCCCTCTTTGGAAATTTTTTTTTTTGGGGGGGAGGGAGGGAGAAGAGAGGTGATAATGATAAAGTCACATGAAAAGAAAATGAAACACTTGGCAGTCCGTCAGATGACTAATGCAAGATGCTGAAGGATGAATTTGCAGAGTGCGCGAGGCATCCATGTGTGCATCAAATTAGTACGTTTTTGCTGCTCAGAATGGAAAGTGCTCCAGCAATGCGGCTGGCTGCAGCCGATTGGCTGCTTATGCTGGAGAAGAGGGCCAGGGCGGGGAGGGGGGCTCCCGTTTAAAAAAGCACATTGTTTATGGGACCCAGGCACAAAGGGTTTAATTCAGGGAGGCAAAGGCGATCTCAGAATTGCCTGCTTTGTGCCGGGGGGAAAAAAATGTAGCCGCAGAAAGTTGAGTTCCCGCTAAAGGACACTGAATATTTCAAATCTTTCACACTCCATAAATTGCTCTCTGTGTGTCTGACTTCCAGATGTTGCACTTGAGTTCTAAACAATCACACGTTTGGAAGAGAGAAGAGGGAAATCTGCCTTTTCTTCTCCTAGCTTCAGTAAATACTTGGGGATGATACAAAAAGCAAGAACATAAGCCTTTGCATATCCATCTTCCTTAAGACTTAAAAGCCCCCATTTGTAAGAAAGCCTGCAATTCTAGTCATCATCATGAAACACGATAATGAGGGTGTTCAGTTTTTAATTGAGATTCCCCCCATTTGACCTTCAGTAAATAATAAAGCAAAATCACATATCCTCTTTGTCTTCCATCTTCTGAATGCTCCCTAACCCACCTACTCTGCGGAGAGACAGGGCTGACTGCCCTGAGCAGCATTCGTTTGCAGAGCTGTGCTCTTGGTTTAGCATCTCAGCCCGTGAAAATAAAATGCACCCAAATAAGGTCACACCTGGCCGACAAAACACCTACAGAGTCCGGTCCATGATCACCCTGGAGCCCCTAGCCCAACAGGCAGAAAGGTAAAAAAAAAAAAAAAGGGCCCACATCAACTAAAACCTTACTGCAACTGGCAGGTGTCATTTCAATGTAGTCTTGGTGTTATAATATCGATAATAAGGTATTCAAAATGATGGCAAATACCCTTCACTAGGGCCTGGCTTTAATTTCTACTTCTTCCGTTCACCCTATTTTACCACTCTATTTTTTTTTCTCCATGAGATAAACAATCAAACTGTGTAGCTTGAAACATTTTCAGAGGTTTTTCCTCTAATCAACCTTATTGTTATAAACCATGTTCTGCTAAATAAAATATTGAGCACAAAATCTTTTTGCAGCAATTTAAGTGTAACGGTGTAACGTAATGCTTGTTTATATTACAGATCAATCGTTTATCTTCTTGTTCCTGTGCACCTTTACTTCTTTTCAAATCACCCTTCGAGAATTCAATCAACACTTTAACCCCACAAAGCTAACTCTGGTGAGGTGGAGGTGACAGAGTCCTACCCAGCACGGGATGTAGTGTTCACAACTCCGTGAGAGCTTAGAGTGTGGCAAGACTCGTTTCTGGGGCAGGAAGGACTTGTGGTTAGTGCTGTTGACAATGAGCCAGAATGAAAAGAGGAAGGTATTGCCACAGGTCTCAGCTAACAGAGAACGGAAGTTCCAAAATGGGGCTGTTGCATTTTGTCTGCACAGAGCAGTTAGTACAACGAAGGAGCTAGGAGAGAGTATACCAGTCCCAGTATCTAAACTTAGAATTCTAGAGCATGCCATTCTGTAATATCTCTCCAAATGAGAGGGCATTTTTACTTTCTCAAAAAATGCACCAGTAGTGGTGCATATAAAGGAGGAGAAATGGAGGATATCCCTTATGCCTTTAGTCTTTATGTTGCCAGTCTCCATATTTATAACCCCCTTTCCATCAGCCATACTTCAGAAGTGCCTGAAGATTTCTTATCGCGCTGAACCAATGGGGTGTTGGAGCTCATGGCATGGGCTCTGAATCATGGCACCACCGCTTCCTAACTGTGCGACTCTGGGCTCAGACCTTTCATCTGTAAAATGGGAATAAGGACTTCATCTCCTGCAGTCATGTATTTCGTACAGGAAATGGCCCAGAGTAAGTGCCTAGTAAGTGTTAGCTATTTCTATTTTTAATCTCTTCTTTGCAGTTGTGACACACTTGAAATGTCTACTTTTCATTCCAAATTTTCTCATAGAATAGGCACAAACACAACTCATCTCCTAAATAATAAGTACCTTTTAATGAGCATTTATAAGCTAGATACTTATAATGAGCACTTATAAGCTAGTATGCTCGCTACTTTACATACATTATTTCTAACCCTCATAATAACTGTAGTGAAAGTATCATTTTCAGATGCAAATATCTAAGAAATAAGTTCCTTTCCTAAAATTACCAGCTCATAAATTATAGAAGCAGAATTCAAACCTAGGCCCAAAGCACAAAATATTTCTAATCCATCATGTTGCCAAATATTACATCAGGTCTGCCTTTGACTGAGCGTGTACACCTCACAGCAAGCCTATGAGAAGACAAGGCCAAGAGCAAAACACACTGGGTCCCTGGAACCCCAGGGCCAAATTAAAGGTACCACTGCAAGAAAGACACACACCTGTCCTCTTTCTATCAGTGAGACACGCTGAACTGAAGGGTCTGTTAGGAGTACTTTACAGCCCACGTTTCCTCACTAATCACATAGCTGTCTCCATCTTCACAGATGCCTGTTCCTCTCTATTCCCGGTCACCTCAAAGAGTGCCTCTCATCCACATCTAAATCCCTTCCTAACTACTTGCATTTTGCAAACAACCATCCCAAATATTTGCATCATATTTGCATAACAATGTGTTCCTTAAGTAAATCCAAGGACCTCTAGCTGTTAACAAATTCAACAATGGCTACAACAGTACAATAAATTCAACAATGGCTACAACAGTACAACTTCCTCAAGGAAAGCTTCCCTACAGGACAGCTGGTCCCCCTTTCCTCCCTCCCCATCCATGTGATGCTGAATCCTATGCCTCCCCCCACCACACACACACACACACCCCATATTGCGACAGCCTAGTTAACTGTTCTAATGCACACAAATTCCTCCTTTGGACTCCCAACTTTCTGCCTGGCTGAGGCTCATTTCTAGCAGAAACTTGACTTCTTTTGTCCTCAGGGGGCTGTCAGCACTGACACTCTTAAGTAAGCCAAAAACTGTGTCCCACAATTAAACCTTTGGGGGTACTTGCCAGAGGCCATGAAGAGCCAATGTACTATTCAGAGGAATAATTATGGGAATAAATACCCCAAATTTCAGCAAGACTCTCAGTAAGATTGAGAGGGCAGGGCGAGGTACTAGAATCTGATATCATGCTTAGAAAACTAGACTAGCTCGCTTCTCTGCATTCCCCAGACCTCCTCAGCACCCACTACAGTACTGGAATTAATTCAAATTCAAATAATATTTATTGAGGGCCTACTCTTTTCTAGAAACCTTTGCCAGGTGTTTGACTTCCAGTATCAGGACAGCTCCAGGAAGTTGAAATCGTTATCCCCATTTTGGAAATAAAGTAATTAAGAGCCGCCAAGGAGGTAAAGTGACTTTTCCTATGTCACCCCCCTTAGAAGAGGTGCCTGCAGAATCTGGACACACGAAGATGTGAAGGCCAACTGTCATTGTTCAATATTCATAAACCGGTTTCTCTCAGGCAAACTCATTAGTCAACAGAGCCAAATATCAACAGTACAACGATTGAAATTTCTTTGGAGAGCCAAATCTTTTAAACTTAAACTTCTTTTAAAGCCACTTCTTCAAAATAGACTCGCCCAGGCCATGGTATTTTGAGGAAGAGCCACACTCAATGGGCCAAAGAGCCGCAATTTGCCAACCACTGCTCTAGGGGGATGTTTCCTATGGACTCAGTGGCCACGTGCAGGCCCTAGGAACAGGCACATATTATACATCTTTGCTGGCACCAAGCCTACATACTGCAACAAGATCCCGAGTGCCAATTACACTTATGCTCTTGGCAAAAAGCCAACTATAAGGCTCCTCCCGGACAGATGCCATATGGAACCAGACCACAAGTTAGAGAGCACTAAGCCAGTGGGCACTGGTGGTATCATTCTCAGAGCTGAGAGGGAAATATAACGGTGTTTGGGGTGGAGAAATGAGAGTGCTTACTTTCTGCTTTCAGCACAGGCATTGACCTACTTCCCTACTCCATCTTGGAGTAAAGAAAAGTAGATCAGCAGAAGATATGCAAAATGCTTGGAGGTTCCTCTAAACAGTAAAATGTTAAAATTATAATAGCTGATGAAAATTAATGCATTATTATTATTAATTATTATTATTTCCAGGACAGCAAGTTTTTATAAGGCCTAGAGAATTGCACGTTTTCTTTTGGAGAATGGAAGCAAAGGAATTGACTTTTTTTTTTTTTTGAGTTCCTTGGATAGCAACTTTCTCATCACGTCTCCTTTATTTACATAAAAGGAAGGACAACAAACTTACAAAAGAGGTATGAGAAATGCCAAGTAGCTATAATTAATTATATTAATGCTGAAAAAAAT